TTTTTTTAGCAGGTGGCAACCCTTTTTATGTTCTAACCTAGATACAAACCTTCTCCGCGGCGATATGAATACTTAGGTATCAATTTTTCCACAATCGGACCTCGATACCATGGAGTCTACCGATGTCAAACTTCAAGCAACTTTATTTTCGTTGTTTTGGTCGAATACTTGGACATCCCCCACTCTATTTACTTGATTACAAACAATTACAGTTTTAAATATTTCAACACGTCGTTTCTAAACATTTTGAGTTAAAATTTTCATAAAAATAATTTTGGCCGCCTAAATCGGTCAAATACCCCTATGTGCGACGATACCACTGACTCAGCCAGTTGCCTACGCACTGTGCTATGTTCGCCCTGTAAATTATCGTTGCTTTTTTCCCACTTTTTCATTTGTTAAGCCAACACAATCAAGTGCAGCTGTTCCAGAGCGATTGCATCAGTTTTGGGGAGCACGGATTATTTTTTCCTTTTTGCAGCTCCGGATGCTCCCTACAAAACTGCACATAAAATTGTAGCTGCTCCTGCGTGGTCCGTCCATATTTTGCACGTCTAAAATGTTTATAAATGTTATAAATATACGAATTTATCTATTTCACACAAATACTCACTTTTCTGGTGTTTCACCGCTCATATTTTTTGCAAATAATAGCGTTGACAAGCTGTTTCTACAACAATGAACTTTTCACCATGCATGGTAAGTTGACAAAAGCTTTTCGCTTGTCATTTTTTGTTAGGTATGCCAACGTGCAACGACAATGACAAAATCACGACAATGAAGGATGATCAATTGTCATTCTATTGCAAAACCGGGATAGTGCTGGAGAATGTGTTAGACTATGTTCAAACAGGCACCTAATTGGCAATTAAGAACCTTTTCACCAATTAAAGCCTTAATTGTTACCCAATTTACCATACAAAATTTCAATTTATTAATTGCCAATTAATACTTAATTGACAATTAATTTGTGTCCGATTCTCTATGCAACCCTGTGAAGTATGTTTAATGAGACGAGCAAAGGGTATGTTTGATGAGAAAACGAAACGTCATGAAAACGAAATGACATTTCAATATTATTAAACAAAATTAACCTGAATGGCGGATAAAATTGATGGTCAGTAAATTTAAACAAATTTTCAATAACAATATAGTTAAAATAATCACCTTTTTTATTTTTATTCATTGTAGACCCAAAACCGAAAAGAAAAAGAATGGGATGGAGTGAGGGGGCCGAGGTCGCTGTGCTTGAGCTGTGGGAGGAGCGCGTGGAGGAGCTCCGTGGGCTGAGAAAGAACGCTCACGTTTACGCGGAGATGGCGGCTGACCTCTCCAAGCATGGATACAATCACAGCTGCAAAACTTTTCACAGCGCTACAGGTAGGTTCATATAAGAATAAAATGCAAAATAATTCTTGAATTCAAACTCTTAGGAAAGAAAAGGCAGAAATGGGTCCTTCTGGTGGGTCGCCTTCAACATGGGGGCACTTTGAAAGGGTGCATTCAATAATCGGTGCATTCAAGGCGAACCTGTAAAAGATTTGACGCTTGAAAGCATTGATGGTACGTAGGCATGTTTTGGTTTATTTGCAACATTTGCATACATGTACATAACAGGGGGTCAATTCCCGTTCTGCATTATCTATCGTGAAGTGAAGTGAAATGTTAAAAATGCACACCGAAATAAGTGCAGTGTGAAAGTGTTTTTTTTTTTATCACTTTACAATATCGCAGACCAGAACTGTCCCTCTGTACATATGTATTATGATGGAAATTTACAAGGTGTTGGACATTGACTGCCTCCTTTAACTAATGGCGTTTTCGTTTCTACCAAAAAATTTTACCTTCTCATTGCTCGCTCAAACAGCAAAAAGAGAGCAACGAGAAGGCAACCTTTTTTGTAGAAAAGAAAACGCAATTAGTCAATGTTTCCTTTTCGAAAACAGTGCATTTTACCAGCTTTAAAATAGTACTAAGCTACCTCACTTCTAAACAAATATGGATTTACAACTACTGAATAAATCTTTGATTAATTTCCAATCGTTTACAATCGCATATTAAATTATTTTTAATTTCGGTTGTTTATACCCTTGTGAGGCAGATTTTACTGTTTATTTGCTTAAGTACCTTGCATAATTTCATCATGCGAGCATAATGCCGGCATACCAGAAACCACATATTTAGATATTTCAAAGATTGCACAAAGTTCTTAAAATTAAAAAATTTTGCATACAAATTAATCAAACTTTTTAATCAGAATGTAGAAAATCGGATATGCAATTTTTTAGCCAATTAAATTTTAGTCTAAAAAGGCCAAGTTTAAAGTCGCTAAAATTGCCGTTGATTTTTGAGAACTTTTTTTGTCGAGGGTGTTGACCATTTTCTTTCATATAACGCAGGAACAAAATCTATTTTGTTTGTTGAGCATTTTCTCCCATATAAAGTATACTCGTTATTTACTTTTATATGAAGAAAAATGCCTAGCACCGTCAGCAAAAAAAAATATTAAAAATCAACGCGATTTTCTAGCGATTTAAAATTTTCACTTTAAACTAGTAAAAAAAACTGCATACCTAAAATTTTTCTAAAATTTTGTAACAAAAAGTTTAAAATTTTCGGGTGTAATTGTTAGTTTGTTGAATTCTTACAATTTTTGTAAGAAGTTCGAAATGTGGATTTATGTGGCGCTGGTTATGTACTGTGCTAGGATTTTATATACAAATTATAAACATTAAATAAACAAAAGAAAAATAACCAAAACTTATCAAAATGTCACTTAACTTAATCAGCTGACCACAAGTGTATGTACATATATACAACAAGCAAAAATTTGTTTCATTTTACAATTTAAAAAACTTTTGGTTTTATTAAATTTTTAATGTCAACAATGTTTTCTTTTAAACAGACTCATCAAAAACATCGTCGTCCACTGCAGCACTACCATCGCCAGTAACACCGCTACCTTCACCCTCGTCGTCACTTCCGTCGCCAGTGCCATCAACATCTGGATCGGCTGGAAAAATAAAGAAAAACAATTTCCAGGAGAAACTTTTAGAAAAGTTTGATAACTTGTCATCGGGCATTGCTGACCATTTGAAAAGAAGCGAGGACAATGAAAAAGAACTTATTGAAATAGAAATAAAGTAATGTAAAAAAAATATTTTTTTAAAAATAAGCTTTTATTTAACATGTTTAATCAAAGGAATAAAATAAAGTAGTGAAACAAAAGATTTTTTAGCAAGAAAATTTTGTCAAAACTGCACTAAAATGAATAAAATAAAATAAGTTAAGGTCTCGTTAAAGTTACTAAAAGCCATTTAGTGAAAGGAGTTATTCAAACTCTAATGAAAATTACTAACAATTTGTACTAATTTACTTCGTTTTT